TGTGCTATGGCGAGCGCTGTGAATTGTACAAGACTGTTGAATCACAGATCTGTACTTCTGAAGCAAATAATGCAATATATGTTAAGAAAAAAAAAGAAGAAGAAGATAGCAGGAGGGGAAGAATGAAGGGGAGTAAGTCGGAGGGGGAGGCGAACCATGAGAGACGATGGACTCTGAAAAACAAACTGAGGGTTCTAGAGGGGAGGGGGGTGGGGGGATGGGTTAGCCTGGTGATGGGTATTAAAGAGGGCACATTCTGCGTGGAGCACTGGGTGTTATGCACAAACAATGAATCATGGAACACTACATCAAAAACTAATGATGTAATGTATGGTGATTAACAAAACAATAAAAAATTAAAAAAAAAATCCTGCTTTGTAACATAGTTTCCCTGTGGGTTTCTATGTCCAGGAGCATCTCAGAGAAGGGGAGAAACAGGGATCGATGGGCTGTGGGCTCTCTGAGTGGTTGGAGGGTCTCTGTTGGGGACCAGTGGGAATGGGGTGCAGTGGTCCATCTGTGGGGCATTCACAGGCTCCCTTGAAGCCTGTCTGGGGCCGAGATTAATGAGGAAAGGTGGCCACAGGGAGTGTGGCCTGGGCCCAGGAATTTGCTCAGCTTTTGTCTGCAGAGGTCAGCACTTTGACAGTGAAGGAGGAAGGTTTTGTCCTTCCTCCTTCTGGCAGCAGGCATGCCTGTGAACCAGCTTCTACCAAGAAGTCTCAGGGTCAAGAGCGAGGCCCAGCCACAGATCTCCCCCTCCTTCTTCCAATTTGACTGGATGTCATTCAGAGTGGACTGAGGCAATGATGCTGCAGAGCAGGAAACATGTGAAGCAATTATCTTTTTAGTAGGTCACTGGCCTCCTTTGGGAGAAGAGTCCAGAGGGAGATGGAAAGGCAGGCAGCATGGCCTCCCCCAGAGGTTGCGCGCGCAGTAGCTGCATTGGTGATTAATAGCCGTGTCACTTTCCATGAATGTTGCTTTAAGCAGCCGTGTTCAAAATTGAGTGGGAATGAAATAAAACAACCCAAAATAGATGTTTCCTCTATTCCTTATGAGTTGCTGGAATCCAGAAATAGCTTTTCAAATCTATAATTTTAAATGGCATCATTCACAGCATTCCCTGAGCTGCGGCTTTATTTTCACATGGATGTTGCTGTGTGCACATGCATCACTTTTTGTTTTTTAAAGAGCATGAAAAATTTGAGCTCAGTGACTTTGAGGCTTTTTCGGCACTGAAATAAAAATTATGATTACAGAGAAAAATACAGCCTTTACATGTGTTTTTAAAGAAAAATAGTAACCTAGCGGTGGAAAAGGACAGGAAGAATATTGTGCCCATACAGATCATAAACTGGAGCAGTAAAAAGGTCTGGCAGGCAGTAATTGCTGGCCAGCTGCAGGGATTACAGCCCTGTGAGCTGTGTTCAGGGCAGTCTGCCAGGACGCTGGCAACCGGAAGCAGGCCTGGACCATCACGACCCTCAGTGCCATTGCTGCGTCTGAGAGCGTAAACAGGAGGGTGACCACACAGCGGCAGGGCAGGGTGCCTGCACTGGCCATGCCCTCTCAGAGCACAGGGACTTGAAGCCCCCTCTCTCTGCTGCCTCTGTTGGAGCCAGGCTGCCAGTTTGGAGGCTGATAGTGGCAGTCACAGGGATGACCTCTGGCTGCATCTCTGGGCAAGAGAAGGGTCACTAGACTTTAGTATCACCTTTGCCCTAGGGAAGCCAAAGAACACATCTGATGGGTGAGGAGCCAGAGGGAACTCTCAGCTCAAAGCTTTGGGGACTGTCACTGTCTTGGGCCAGAGACAGGGAGGGAAGGTGGGTGGTGCTGTGTGCCTTCGGCGCACTCATTTCTTCTAGTTCCTGGCACAAAAACAAAAACAAAAAACAACAAAACAAAACAAACCAGCAGTGGGGTGGGCTGTTGGGTATAAGGGCGGGGTGGATCCCTCATCTTTTTTGCTTCTTCCATCCCTGTCCTAACTGCCTGCTCGCTCCCACTCAGCACTCCAGTGTCTGACCATTGGCCTTTTATTGGGACATCTCTAAGTAAATATTCAAAGGAGACATGGAAGGGTGGGTGGGTGGAGAAGTTGGGTTGGAACTGCTGGGAGATGGTGGGACATTGCATCTGTCATCTTGCCTTCTCTTCCCTGAGTACACACACCCGGCCAAGCTGGGGCACATCAAGACAGAATAGGCTGGCCTGGTAGGTTTTAATATTGTTCAGGTATGGTGAGGCCAACAGATCAGGGGATGACCGCCATTGAAAAGATAGCCTGTTACAGTTCCCAAGAGGAGGGGGTGTGCCATGCCATGCAAGGCCATAGGGGGAAGCACCAGGGATGGTTAAGAGCCAGGAGCAAGGAGGAAACATGGACAAGAGCCTTTATTGTGGTTTCTGTGAGAAAGGATAGGAAAGGAAGGGCAAGCAGGCTAAGCAGGTTTAGGATTGGCTAGTTTGAATAATTTCAGAAGGTTCTGAAGCATAAGGGCTGTCCCTTGTTGTCTGGTACCTAGTCCTGGGGGATAATGGCCCAGAGGAAAAGGTAAAGGAGGTGGTTGGGGATGTGGGCTCTGGATTGGTGAGTTTGCATGTGAAAGATGGATGGGCAGAGTAGTCCTTTGCTCTCTGTAGGCATTGGCTAGCCTTGGGAGGGCCAGTCCCTCAAGGGTCAGTAAAGAAGGCCCCAGAAGCAACGCATCAAAACATGTGGTCAGGACAGGTTGCACATGACACCAGCATGAAAGGTAGAAGTGCTCCCATGGGGGAGGAATAACAGGTGGAATGCTCAGGGCATTCTGAGAAGTAGCTTCCTGCTTTGATTGGTTTGGTTTGGTTTTTGAAGGGGCATGTCACGAATGGGAGAAGGTGTCAATGGGAGGAGAGGACATTTGGCTAAGCCACCAAACATATGATGTGTGGCAGCCAAGTGAGGTTGGCTGAGTGCCTTGCCTGGACAGAGGCCCGGGACGGGAAGTGTCTGAAGGGGCTTAGCAGGAAAAACAGTTGGGGCACTCAAGTAAGGCCAAAGTAGGCTCTTGAATGCCAAGCTGAAGCATTTGGATTTCATGCTGTATGCGCTGGCCAGAGCTGTTCTGTTTTTGCTCTCTAGTTCTGTTAATGAATTCATAGACTCATAGAGAATGCCTATACCTGGCCGTATATCATAATCCCAGAACTTAATTAACAGGTTAGGATGCTGAGGTAAATTTGTTGTGGATGAAAAAAAGAAATCCCCTGTGGCAGGGGTTGAAGACTCAGTGCCTCCCAGACCTGCAGGTAATGTCAGCAAGCAGAAAGGGCTCTGGGGACCCTGGGGAACAGCTGTGCCCCAAACGGAGGAGTCAGCAGCTTCTGAGCTCCAGTGGATCATGGGAATGGGGTCCAGAATTGCCAGATCTTCCTAGTTTTCAAGAAAAGCTGGAAATTCAGAGTCTTGTGTAATCTCCCGAGTTTTGTGAAATTGCCTGATAAGTCTGCAGCAACTCACTAGCGAAACTCCTTCCTCCCTAAAAGCACAAGAAAAGGCCTGAGCCCTGCCACATGGACTCCTGGTGGCCTCTTTCTGCTCTGCACCTGTCATCCTAATTGAACCATGAGGGTCAAAGAGGAAATGGGACAGTGAGAAGGTGTGCCTGAATTGGGAAACTGAGGCACATCAGGTCAGGGGTCAGATCTGGCATCCGAAGACTTTCCCTGAGGTCTTAAGTGAGGCACTCTGTTGTGCTTCATCTACATTTTCTCATTGGGAAAATTCATTCATTCATTCATTCATGCTGTGTGTGGGGCCAAGGCAAAACACTTCACACATAAAAACAGAAAATTTGATGGGATGCTGTCTAAAGCAGTATTGCTATTGTAATTACTTTATAGCAAAACCAAAACTAAAAGATGTTGTGATCAGGTATGGTGAGGCCATACCTGGTGCTGTGTGGGTGAAGTTCCTTCTAGCAGCACATTAGGAAATACTGGTGATTGACAGAGTGGGGTGAGTGGGGGCGGTACATGCAAGGCTCTCCTGCCATGTCACCTGGTCTAGTTCTCTCTCTGTCCAGGACTGTGAGCTCAATAGCTGGGCCTTGGCCTCCTTGACCCTGGTAGGCACCCAGAGCCTAAACGGGTGCTGACACAGAGCAGGTGTGTATATGTCTCCCAGAGGAGTGAGTCTCGTGTGGCAGTGAACCCCTTCAGTACACAAAAGTTTAGCCACAGCGAGCATAGAAAAAGCTACAGGATAATCATAGCATTCAAAAATAGAAGTTAAGAGAGTGCTGACAAATGGAATTTTAAATGACCTGACGTCGGGATGATGCCATTGTTGGATCTGTGTTTTCTCACTGGTTTCGCAGTGCTGCAGCAGAAGCTGAGAGGTTTCCCTACAGGCTGTCGGGCCTCATTTGGCGCCGTGCCCCACTGGCATTGGAGAAAGCTGGGATGGACTGAGGGCCAAGCTGGGGAGTGATCCTCAGGCAGGATGTGGACACCTTTCTGTGCGGAACTACAGGGGGGATTTAGGTGGGCTGAAAGTAATGACCTGCCTGTGAATCTGACAGGAGCACCAGGGTTAGCGTTGCCTCCTTGTTGAGAATGTCCTTTTGAAATATGTCCTAGGATATTGCTCCTGTCCTATTAATTATGTCACAAACTTAAAAGCTGAATAATTAATGATCGTGGGGCACTTGGAACATAAAATGCCATGTAAATGTTAAGGAGTAAAAATTACTCTGTGTGTTAATTAAATAGATAGGCTGCTTTAAAAATATTCCATGGTGGGAAGATTAATTTCCAGAAGAGCTGAAAAGCTTTTTGTTGGACTGTCCTAAGAAACTTTTGATATCTAATTATCTTAACCACATTTTAGGAGACTCAGGCATTCTGTATCCTGAAGCATTTGAAAGGCAAATGGCTGCTTGACATGTTTAGCTCAGGAAATGAAGTTGCCTATTGAATTTTGGTAAAAATTGTGTCTGCTTAATTCTCTCTAGCCGGAGGCAGTTTGGGCCTAAAGCCAAGGAAGAAGTCAAGATCATTGAGCACCAAACACAGACCCTTCGGCTGATGCCTCACCTGGCCACAGCTTTGGCCTTGACCTTCGCCAGCAGGTGAGTTGGCTCTCAGGGTTTGCTTTCTAAAGAGGAATGTGAGGTCCTGCTTGGCATTAATAAGGAGTGAGGAGAGAAGCAGGCAGGGGCTTTGTCTTCGAACTGGGAGCAGGAAAGGGTCTGTAGTTAAAATCTGATGCTCATGGGGCGCCTGGGTGGCTCAGCTGGTTAAGCGACTGCCTTCGGCTCAGGTCATGATCCTGGAGCCCTGGGATCAAGTCCCGCACAGCGGGCTCCCTCCTCAGCAGGGAGTCTGCTTCTCCCTCTGACCCTCCCCCCTTTCATGTGCTCTCTTTCTCTCAAATAAATAAATAGATAAAATTTTTAAAAAAATCTGATGCTCAGGTTAAAAGTGATGTCCGAATCTTGATTGTCTGTATATCCAGGTAGATGGGACCCACAGAGAATTTGAGAAGCCTTGAACCAGTTTTTCTCCACAGTTTCTGAAAGAAACAGACTTGGCTGTTAAAATTTCTCTACCTCTGACAAAGGTTTTAAAGATTTTATTTATTTATTTGACAGAGAGAGACACAGCGAGAGAGGGAACACAAGCAGGGGGAGTGGGAGAGGGAGAAGCAGGCTCCCCGCCGAGCAGGGAGCCCAATGCGGGGCTCGATCCCAGGACCCTGGGATCATGACCTGAGCCGAAGGCAGACGCTTAACGACTGAGCCACCCAGGCATCCCTGACAAAGGTTTTAATTTAAAGTTTTCAAAAATAGGTCACGGTGTATGCATGTGTAGGGAGGGAGGTAGGAGTCAGGCTATTGAATAAAACAGCGGCAATAGTACTATAAATTCACATGGAGCTTTGCATTTTATAGCAGGCTTCCATCTATGCGTCTCAGCTATTCTTCCTCAAAGCCTGGGGAGGTTGCCTGGGCAGTTGTGTGTCATCCCATCTTCTAACGATCAGAAAATTGGGGATTTGCCTAAGATCACAGGGCCTGGGAATAGAGGCACTGGGAATATAACTCCAAACTTTGGACCCTTATCCTGTGTTCTTTCCTCCCTATGCAATCCTGCTTCATAGGGTATTAATTTCTGAGTAATTTAGAATTGGCATATGTCTGAAATTTACTGCACCGATGGCTAAGCTGGTGTCAGGGTTGATATAAGGAAGGTAATCAGGGAGGCCCTGCCAGTCTGGTGTGCTGCTGGCTTGTGGGGCTGCCTGGCTACGCTGGCCTGGCTGGGAGGGGCTTGGTTGGGCGCACCTCTGCACTCAAGCCTGGGATTCCAGGGTTCTCAAACAGTGAATCCTGCAGACTGAGCTTCAGGTAACACAAAGATCAATCTATCTAAGCCACCCAGAAGAAAATGTGAATCACTCATATCCAGCCTCTTACTTAAAATATTTTTGAATGCTTTTTGAGATTGAATTAGCATATGGTAAAATGTACAGGTTTTAGGGTATAGTTCAATGACAAGCATATACCCTTGTGTAACGAACACTCAAACCAAATATAAAACATTTTCATCTTTGCAGTTGGCCCTCACCTCACCACCACAGCAGGGACAACTACCTTTGTGAGTTCTAGCCCCATAGCTTACTTTGGTCAATTCTTAAACTTCATGTAAATGGGAACACACAGTATGTATTTTTTGTCCACTTCATTTCATTCAACATAATGTCTTAATGTTCCTCAATGTTGTTGATACTTTGTTAATTTTTAGTGCTGAGTAATAACATTGAATTAACCACAATTTTTTAATCCATTCTCCCAGGGCTGAACATTTGGGTTGTGTCTGGTCTTTTAGCTGCAGTGAAAAAGACACAGTGAATATTCTTGTACAAGTCTTTCATTTTTCTTAGGGTAAATACCTAGAGAGGACTTGCTGGGTAACGGGGTGTGTGTGTATGTCTAACTTTATAGAAACTGCCATTTTTCAGAGAGGTAGTACCATTTTATACTCATTTGAGCAATGCATGAGAGTTCTGGTTACTCGATAAACTGAGATATTTTAAGTATCTCAAAACTGTTACCAAAAAATCAGGTTGTATGAGCCATCAAGTCTGCTCTTATTCAAAATTGTCTTGGCTGTTTTAACTTGTCTGGGCACTTTGCATTTCCACATAAAATTTTGGACCTGCTTATCAGGTTTGTTTGTTTTTTTTAAACAAAAAGCCTGATTGTATTTGTGATTGCATGGAATCTATTAAGCAATTTGGCAGTGCTGGGTCTTTCAAATCCAGGAAGATGGTTTATCTCTCTATTTATACAGGAATTTAATTTTTCTTCACATATTTTATAGTTTACAGTGTAGGGATCTTTCACATTTTTTACTAAATTTATTCAAATGGAATTGCTTTTTAAAATTTAATTACCAATTGTTTCTTAATGTCATATAGAAATGTAATTGAATCTTTTATATTGACCTCCTATATTCTCATAAATTCACTTATTAGATCTAGTATATTTTCTCTATATATAATCACATCACATGTACATGAAGAGAGTTTTACTTCTTCCTTGCCAATATTTATGCTTTTTAAAAATTCTTTTTTTTGTCTTATTGGACTAAGACCTCCGTTACAATATTGAATAGCGATAGTGAGAGTGAACATCCTTATTTTGTTCCAGATTTTAGAGGATAAGCATTCAGTATTTCCCCATTAAGTGTGAAAATTCACTGCAGGATTTTTGTGGGTGCCTTTTTTTTTAAGATTTTTTATTTATTTTCTGGCAGAGAGAGACACAGCGAGAGAGGAAACACAAACAGGGGGAGCGGGAGAGGGAGAAGCAAGCTCCCTATGGTCCAGGGAACCTGACGCGGGGCTCGATCCCAGGAGTCTGGGATCATGACCTGAGCCGAAGGCAGACGCTTAACGATTGAGCCACCCGGGTGCCCTGTGGGTGCCTTTTAATAGGCCGAGGAAGTTCCTTTCTACTCCTAGTTGGCTGAATATTTTTATCATGGATGTTGGATTTTGACTTAATTTTTCCCTCTATTTAGCTGATCATGTGAGATTTCTTCATTCTATTAATGAAATGAGTTACATTGATTACTTTTCAAATGCTGAGGCTGATTTGCATTCTTTTAAATCCTTGGTCATAATGTATTATAATATTTTTATATTATTGGATACAAATTGGTAATGTTTGTATAAGGATTTTTTTGTTTGTATTTGTGAAGAATATAATTTTCTTTCCTTTGAGATGTCCTTATTAGGTTTTGGTATAAGGGTTATACTGTCCTCATAATGTGACTAGGAAAGTGGTCCCTTCTATATTTTCTCAAGGAGTTTTTACAAGATTGGTATTATTTCTTAGATTTGGTAGTATTTACTAAGAAGCCATCTGGACATATTTTTTTAATAGGAAGATTTTTGATTACTCTGTTAACTTCCTTAACAAATATGAATCTTAAGATTACCAAGTTCTTCTCTGTCAGTTTTGCTAATTTGTGTTTTTCTAGGAATTTGTCCTTTTCCTCTAATTTGTAAAAATGTATCTAAGTTGTTAATAATATTTCCTTATTATAATATTAGTGTCTGTAGGAGCTGTAGTGATGACCCTTTTTATTCCTAATATAGTTTTTGGCTTTTTTTAGGGGTCAATTTTTCTAGACGTTTATCAGTTTTGTTAATCTTTTCAAATAATATACTTTTGAATGCTTTTCTTGAATTTTTGTCCATTTTCTGTTATTGATTTAATTTCTTATCTTTATTATTTTCTCAGTTCTGTCTAGTTGGGGATTAATTTGCTTTCTTTTTCTAGCTTCTAGCTCATTGGTCTAAAACCTTTCTTTATAAAATAAAAATATAGTATTAAAAAATTTCTGCTAACTTTGTTTTGTGTATTTTTAAGCTTTGTTATTTAGCACCTTCAGATTTTGGGTTATTATGTCTTCTAGAGGAATTTAGCCTGTTATATTCATTAAATGTTTCTCTTTGTTTCTGGTAATTTTTTTTGTCTTGAAGTCTACTTTCTTTGCTATATTGTTATAACCCTACCAGTTTTCTAATGCCTAGTGTTTTCATGCTCTATCTCTTCCCACCCTTTTATTTTAACCGATCTTTCATTATATTAACTTACATGTGCCATTGTGAGATGTTTATAAATAACATATGGTGAGGTCCTCCTTTTTATCCAATTTGATAATCTTTTAATTTGGAATGTTAAGCTCATTTTTATTTACTGTAATTCCTAATAAGTCTACCATTTTGTTACTTGCTCTGTTCTGTCTTTTCTCGGTTTTTCATTCCCTCTTTCTTTTTCCTAGTGAATACTGTAAGTATTGTAATATGCATCCTTATCTTGCCAGTACCCACCTTGAATTGGCATTATACCACTTTATAGATAATGTAAACTTGTAAGACTATAATTCTTTCTTTTGAGGGGGGTTATTGAGTATTTTTTTAGTATTTCATTTTATCTCTTCTCAGCTTTTATCTGTGTTTCTTTTTCCCAAGAATCTGGAGTATGTGTATTTAAGCTACTTAGGTGATTCTACTGAACAGAGTTGAGAATCACAGGAGCTTTTTGGGAAGCTTCTTAGTGTGACCTGGAAATAAACTTCACTAACAGGTAAAAGGCGGTAATATTATATTATAAGAAGACTTAAAGTGGATCAAAATAACCTGATATAAAACCTGATAATTTTTCACTTGCATGACAAAGGAAAATAAAACTCTTCTTTGAATTTTTTGCCCAGTGGTTTATTTGTAACTATTACAAAGAGGCAAGAGTATCTACACATTGACTTCTTTGTCCACTATTCACAATCCATGACACAGGAAGTTAATAGACCACATAACAAAGAGTTACCCTATTTTTTACATTTATAAGTTTATATATATACACATGCATCTTTATGTATGACAGAAGTGTGATATATACAGCATGTTTCCTTTTTCTTCAGCTCTATTTAGTTTTTAGTTTGATTTAAGCTTAATTTACCTTGATTTTATAAGTGCAATATTGCTACTATTAGTAAACATTAAAGTTTCTCTTGATTTTAGGGAGATACCCTCCAAATGCCAACATCAGAGAAATAG